AACGGGGTCTAGATGCATTCTAAGATCCCTAATGAAAGGATGCATACAATAAATCAAAGATACCATTTAATATACATAAAAGCTAAATATATCCTAGTTTTGACATCATGCAAAACATCTATCTAAGAGGCAAATGCATTCACATGACAATTTTGCTATATTTACTTGATAGATGTCTGTGTCGATTTGGATATAGACAGTACATATCGCGTCCACCTCCGGATGCTGACACACTTGATGTGGATGTTGATTGGGATGGATATGTTCCGGGAGTTTTAGATGTGATTCATGAGGCAGTTTTCGCCAACCGGCCATATGATGTGGATGATGACTACTGGGCTTGGTATTATAGAGTGTCACATCCTCGTTGTGTAGCACCACCATAGGATGAGGTGAGAGAGGTCCTAGTTCCTGCCTATGACAAAGGACCATCAAATTAGAGGTTGTCATATATTTCACATGAGCTTCATTGTTACTTACAGCATCATGAGGCAGATGAGGAGGACAATGAGTTTGATGAGATTTTCTGGTCACTACGTGTAGCTTAGGGAAAACCAGTTACTTATGACGATGCGTATGACACTTGACCTTCTTTACTTCTTGTTTATTCCGAGACTTATGTATTTCTTTTAGACTTATTATTTTGAGACTTATGTATTATTATGATACTTATGTATTTTCATACTTTTCTTCTATTTTAAAGACTTATGCAATAGAATTCAAAATATAACATGAAATCAAATGTCAATATAATCCATAACATAACAACCACATTACAATTATAATCTAACATATTATGGCACTACAGGTGTAAGGCGTTGTCAATGTTGTAACTGTTCGACAAATCCTACCATCCAAGATGTCGCTTCTTTTGTGTGAAATTTCTTCCAATCCAATGTGATGGGGGGTAACATAAGTCCTTCATTCATGTTTACATGTTCAGAAAATTATAATCAAAAGAAAAACAAGTAAGGGCAAGAGTGAAAATAAGAAATTAACTTAACAAATTTGAAATTTTAACTACCTGAACCCAATGATTTATGTCTACAAATCCAATGCAGTAAGTGGACACACTAGATGAATATGGAATCGTCATGGAAAATAAAGTCAAGCTAGGATAAACTAAAGAGACGAGAATGAAATTATACCGATTAGCTATTACATAACTCATATCTGGTAATGTCATCCATTTCTCTTGTGGCCGAGGACCTAAAGATGATATCATCAACGATTCTCTCACTACTAAAATATGATCTCTAAATAAATTATCATAGAGCTTGCTTCTAGGACCTCTAATTTAATTATCCAATTCATGACTAACAATTGACCATCCATTTGTGCCATAACCATGCAATGATGTAATGACTTTAAACTCATAATTTACATCATCCATATTATTAATAATATCATCAATAAATAGTCTGATATACTCTGGAAACGGTACAATGAAATTATTAGATGGTTTCTTCTTTGAGGTTTGGGATAACTGTTAACATGCCCTCTTTGAAGATTTTTGGGAACTCGGGTGTGCTTGATCAACATACGCATGATATGAAAGGTCACGATAAACATCATATTCCACAAGTTTATTCTCTTTCTTCTTCACCCCTCATTTGGTTTTATTTTTTTAGGCGGTGGACACGTCTTGTTGTAGTGGGATAAGCAATTTCACACACCCTACTTTTTAATTCTTTTTTCCTACAACATCTAGAGACCTAAACCTTTTCCAAATTGCATCAATTCCATTGGTCATGTCCACCTTTGATCCATCATTTGCATCTACCTCTTGTTTTCCTTACAAACTTAACTTTCTACAATGGATGTGAATAGCCTTAATTGGTATTGGATCACCACTCAATGTGTATCTCCCTAACTCACAAGCACACGGTAACACATATACTTTTCTATGAGTACACCCACACTTTTGAGTGTTTGTACCCACATTCAACCCTCAACCACTCTTCAGCAATGTGCCTCAAAGAAGCTCTTGATACCGATCCATGCAAATTCACATAAAATGGACTAGTGTGTGCATGCTCAATTTCATAAAAACTCTTCTGAAATGAAACTTTAATGTTGTCTAGTTGTATCTTGAGATTGTCATTCATAGCCTCCTAACATTTACACATATCACCTAACTTGTTCTCCAACATCTGCTTCAGTTTCCAATATACGGAGTCAACCCTTAAAATAAAATAAAAATCAAGTAAGTACTTGTAATATTAAGATAAAATAAACTATGGCTAAAATCAAACGGGCCTATTAGTTGTGGTGTTGCCCAAATGCAACACTTAATTTGTCCATGCTTTAACAAATCTAATCCTGTGCAGAGTCAACCATGTATCTTTCATATAACCAAGAAATGCTTTAAAGTCAACGCATGCATGCTCAAGCTGTTGCAACTGTTGATGGTACTCCACCTCATTACTAACCCTTATAATTTCATACCATATTTTTTCTATCGGCTCTCGTATATCATCCACAACATATTCCTTACACCTTGATTCACATTTTTGTTGATGTGAAATCAACAAAGCAAATTAATTATCTTTGGAAATACTATTTCAATTGCTTTCATCAAAGAAAGATCTATATCAGTCAAAGTCACTTGTGGCTAAAATCCATACTTAGTAAACAACAATTTCAACTTATCCAAAACCTAACAAAAAATTTACGCCTGCTCAAATTTCATATAGGCAAATGCAACAGCAAATTGTAACTCAATTGATGTTATACCAACTACTTTAAACAGAGGTTGTTTATACTTGTTTGTCTTGTATGTGTTGTCCATAATCAACACAATAGAAAACATATTCAACAACTTCATTGATTCTGGATGGGCCCAGAAAATATCTCTCACAACTTCTGACTCATCTTTTTTCTTACTCCAGTAAACATGATATGAATCCTCTATCAGCTTAAAGAAATGTTGCATTTACGTTCTAGGTCCTCTTATGTATTTCTGTAACTTATTCTTATGTTTATATATTTGTGTGATCCGAGTGACATTCTCTGGATTTCGCTCTTGCAATGACAATAGAATGTGTCTTGGTGGAATATGACCTTTTGTTAAATCAACAAATGTGTAACCTTCAAATGTATCAGGTAAACCATGCTTGTGAAGTCCATATTTTACATCAATCTTCCATCCATAACCATCTTTTGATGGTGTTGACCTAATTTTGAAAGAACAACCACAGTTCTTACTAGCACTTTGTGGTTCACTATTTCCTTCTTTGTATTTTCCACCTCTGTCACAACCAAATATTATTGCCACTTCTTCCTCTCTTGCATGTTTTGGTATATGAACGAGTTATTATAATTGTCACTTTATTCTTGATTCCAACCTCCCTAATCCACCTTGTCGCCTCTTCTCTTGTAGCAAATATTTGTGTCGTTGAAAATATTTCAGTGATATCGACGCATGTTTGATTTTTATCGCATAGCATCAAAGAAATATACATGTTTGTTAAATGTAATTAAAAAAATTAATAAAAAAATAAAAAATAAAAAATTGCGTACCGAATAATTTATGGAAAAAAATCCAGTTAATAAATAAGGGAAAATTGGAAAATATTGATGAATGTTTTCCGATTGATGAAAATAGTGAATCGGGTAACAGAGGCACGTTATCTAATTAGAATTAGTGAACTAAATTTTTACTTGTCAAATTATCGGTTGGTGCAAAATGTAAAGTAGCTATAATGAAACAAAATTTTCTGGTTAAAAATATTAACAACCCGAAATTCTACGTATATTATCCGATTCGCGTGAATGGTGTACACACTTGTCACTTTCAAATAACTCAGATGAATGATAAAAAATTAAAGATTGAAGTAAAAATAAATAAAAAGGACAAACTTAAAATATTTTCAAAATTATTAAGGTATGGTGATAAATATAGAATTACAAAATAAAATTTTCTGAAAGCATGGAACACAACCCAATTGTTTGGGCACAAAGAAAGCGAAGATCTAAACCAGAGCATTGAGGTGGCACATCCATGAAAACTTAGTTAATGACACAAACAAACAGCCACACACCAAAAATCAAAGACCCACAATGATAAGAAACAAACAGAGAACGCAAACAGTAAACAAACATCGACATCACATGACTTCTTTATAGCTCAGAGCAATGCTACAGCCAAACAACAGCCGTGAAAACTCAATAAACCAGCGACTCATGCAAGGGGAGAAAACCAAGTTCCTCTTAGTTTTATGAGAATAGCTTTTCTGACCCCAAAATTCAAACACCGTATGGGTACACCGTCTAGAATATTACAAAAACATGTGTTCATCTGGATTGAAAAATGTGAAAAATTATTATAAAATACAATTAAATAAACAAAACCTTATGAAAATACGGTGTAAATTGTCAAATTTAGTGTATAGAAATATCATTCCCCTAGTTTTATTTATCGAGAATCAACATCCTCAATATGTTAAGAGAAGATGAAATTAAAGTATTCATATTTTCCATGTCTAACTTTGTCATTGATTATGTAGTTTTGAGAAGACACGATTTTTTTTTTTCACAACGTGAAGATACATGGGATAGACAATTAAAAAAAAATGCATTGACTAGTCATTTTACCTGCAGAGAATAAAATATGAGAATTAATCATAAAATTTTGAGAGTATTTAAAGGGTTTAGAAATAAAAAAGAAAGTTGGTAATTTCATGAGGCTTCAAATTTTATAAACATGCTCAAACAGTGGCACACATTTATCAAAATTTCTAGCTATTGCCCTCCTCAAAATCTCTTGGAGAATCAAAGTCTTAAGTTGTGATAAACATGACATATTTAAATTTAAATATTGATATTCTTTCTCGAGGGATTTTATTTCCATTCTTTTTCAGCAAACAACACCCAAATTTCCTTCTGTTGTTGCACTTTTCTGTTATAGAAAAATGGTCCGTGTTAATACCGTTTTCAAAACTCAATTTGGCTGCCCTTTTCATCCAAATAGACTTCAATACTGGGCACGCAGCTATAAATCATTGAAATTCGAAAGGCTTGCGCAAGCAAAGCTGCTCAACCATCCCTTCTTCGATTGTTGATTTTATGGGTAAAACTTTGATTTCATACAACTTGGGCCACAGTTTTCCAGTCACTGCAATTAAGAACATAAGTCACATAAACTTCATGAGGAAAAAAACCTGCATTTATTCTCCAATTTCAAATATTTGTAGAACAAATTGTGAAAAACAAAAACAAAAAAGTCTTCACCGTAAAGAAATCTTTAAAAACAGAATGAAAACAAGAAGCAATTATGCAAATGAAAAATGAAATAAATAGAAAATGTTGTTTCACAAACCAAAACAAGCTTTGGATTGAGAAGATTTTTTATGAAACTTTGTACTTGCAAATTACTGTATGTTTTCACTTTTCAGTGTTCTCAAAGTTTTGTATAAAAATTATTTGAAACACAACTTTTTGCAGTATTTGTTGTTTGCTTGCATAACTTGAAAACAGAAAATAAAACATTTTAGCAAATAAAACAGTAAGTGAAACATGACCTTAACATTCGTTAATTGATGCTTACCACAAAACTGCTTAAGGAAAAAGAATACACCATTTTACCATCTGCTAGGTCATGCGTTGAACCTTGTATTCTTATGCATACCAGTTTAAAATTGTCGAGTGAAACACAAGAAGTTTAACTAGATTCTTTAGTGTCACTTCCATTTGACACTTGTTTTTATCAAATGTCAATGCCATGTTTAATAATTATGATTAAAACAAAGAATCAAGTCTCAAATGGATGGAATGGAAGTGATATGTTTAAATAAATATGGTCAAATAAAAAATTTATAATAATTAAAAAAAGTAGGGCCTACCAAAAATCCGTTCCTGCTCAGCATCCCATGCTATCCCATTCAGAACATCAATAGCCTATATAAGAGAACACACGAGCAGAAAATCATGAGCAACAGCTACCTCTAATAACAACTTAAATACACTTATAGGACAAAAAATTATCTGTAGATGCAACAAAAGGCTCAGGTTCCTTACATTCCCAGCTTTGATTAATTCTTTCCTGCATATGATAGATTAAACATAAATTAGGCAACAAATGTACAAACAAAGATACTTATTAGTTGCTAGAATAAATCCCCACTAAATTCCTCAAAAGATTATAAATATGGTTATCCACCAAATGATTAATTTTTTGGCGTCAAAAAGTGTATACTAGGACCAACTTAATGCCTTCCAGTGTTGAAAAGCATTAAGGACTAATTTGATGTCGCTAATCTGCTGAAGAACCAAATTTGGGATTCGCTTTGTTGTGTCAAACCAAACATAAGAATTCAGATGATATTTGTTGTAAGAAAAGGAAACATGGGCCACACCTTAAATTTGGTAGGAAAATCCATCCAACAACAACACCATCTTTAGGAGAGATTTTTGCAATACAGTCAGTCTACACAATGAAAAATTAACCTCAAATAATACCCAGATTAACAGAAAGCCTTAGATTAACAGAAAGCCATGGGCCACAGGCATCATGCATACATGTCAAACATTTGTTTTCGTTTTTTCACAATTTTAGGGAAGGAGATATATTTTCTCTAACTACCACAATCATAGTTGATCATGCAAACACATACCATAAAAACATTTGCCCAAACTTCACCATTTATATACTCCAGTTCATTAAGATTGTGTACTTGATGACCCTTATAGAAGACAACGTGTTTGGATATAACTACAATGGAGAGGAAAGTGTAAGTTCCAGGAAAATGCAAGGCAAGAAAAGGTTGGGGAATGGGGTTTCACTAAAAAATTGGTAAAAGGAAACAAATAAAATTTGATTTGACAGACTAACCTTTAAATGTTTGAGGGTCAATTTTGTATAATGTTGAACTTCCGTCACTTCCAAACAAGACTTTTCCATCAGTTGCAAGACCCCAGCCATCTTTCATGTCATGATTAAATGTCCCAAGCTACAGAAATTGTAAAAGTAAGCCGTTAAGACCTAGCTTGCAATATTAAAAGGAATTGCCTTAGCACTTAAGAGAATCTCAGGAAAAATAAACAAACAAAAAAGAAGATTGGTATCACCAAAATCATTGCATGCAAACTGCAGCACAGGTGACAACTTGCGTGTATATTTAGACCCATTCAGCTTGTATAAATATTCAATTTGTTTTAATGAATTCAACATTACAAGATATATATTTTCGGCCATGGAAAATCTGTTAATCAAATATAGTAGCTAGTTGAAACCTGTTATACTACTAGTCAATCAACTTATAATTTCTAGCTAACGTTAAAGACTTTCAAATTGAAGCTGTCAAGGAAGCAAATTAGTGAAAGATACTAAAAAAGGAAGAAAAAATATATTAGAACATCCAGGATTACACAGTATAACAGCATGATACAATCATGCAGAATAGTATAGACAAACTGCATATCAACAATAATCACAATGCTGTTACTTTTCTTAGTAGAGTCCCACTGAATCAAAACGTTAGGAGTCTCTCAAACCAAAGACAAAATATTACATGAATAGGTAGGTAAAGCAACAAACTTTGCTTAAATTTTTGAGGTCGTATATGAAACCAAGTGTCTGCAACCATGTTACTTGGATCAGCCTACAAAAGTACACCAGACAATATATTAGAATAAACTAAAAGATCAACCATAATAGTAAAAAATAACTTGATTATTAACCACTAATAACACAATGTCAATTGTCTAAGCCAAAAGCACATTATATCAGGATCAAAGTGAAGTAAACAACCCGGAAAGCATCCAGAAGCAATTAAATCAGAATATTACAACAAAAATCAGGGTCATTCTTCCATTTTCATTAGCAATCAAAATTGGTAGATACTTACCATTTTAGTTGAAGTACTGTTTACTTTTATAGCTAATAGAAACTAAAATACAAAGTGAAAACAACTATTAAGATGTGGTTGGGCCTAATTCAACCCTACAAAACCGGCTTGTAGGCTGAGGATTGCCCCCACTTATAAACACATGTTCAGGCCATATATTGTCCGATGTGGGACTCTTAACACACCCCCTCACGCCCAGGACTAGACAACTGGAGCGTGGAAATAAATGGTGGATGGCCCATTGGATCTTAAACGAGGCTCTGATACCATATTAAGATGTGGTTGGGCCTAATTCAACCCTACAAAACCGGCTTGTAGAGTGAGGATTGTCCCCACTTATAAACACATGTTCAGGCCATATATTGTCCGATGTGGGACTCTTAACAACAACGTTAACATAGAAAAATATACTAAGATGGAATCATAACATACCAAGATCCGTAGGGCCATCCATTATTGGATCCCATTGAATGTAATGTAATATGATCTAAAAGCGGGTGTATAATTGGTAGGCAGCTCTTACTTCACAAGCCTATGTTCTCGAGTTGAATTAAGCTCTCAGTCCAAACTCTAAGAGTTAATTACTGATTATTATATACCAAACATTAAGAAAGCAGAGCATAGGCCATTCAAACAAGAAGAAAATGCAGCATAGCCTGCAGCCTCTTTCTCCTGCAAAGCTCAGTTCTAATGGGATTGCCATCAGCTTTTGGGTTTAGTAGCAAGCGAAAGAGAAACTAAGACTTGGCCCTTAACTTCAACATCAAGTACTTTATGGCTCCAAAAATTTAAAGTTTCAAGTGGTTTAAGAAATTTGCCAGTATTGTTATGTTTTATTGATGTATTAGAAGCTTTGCCAGAGTTTACTATAATCTACATTAAAAAACAAAATGCAACATAATTTTCCTTGCACACTGATAGAAACTGATTATCAAACAATAAAATTGAATAGTAATTACAATGAGTTTCCAAGAAATTCGAGAGTCTTGGTTCTCTCCCTTCCAAGAATTCGAGAGCTTGGTCTCTCCCTCCCAAATATAACCTTTTTCTAATTTTCAGCCTCCCTAAAACATGGTTCTGTTTCTCTTTTTATTCTACCTAAGTTTTGTAACTGCTCCTAATAATAATAATTGTTACTCTAATAATTCTAATGGCTGCTCTTAGGCTCTCTAACTGCTACAGATAACATTTAATAAGGTTGCTCATATGCTTGTAACTGACAGAATTGATAGAATTAGAACAACCACATTCTGTTTTGATTCCTAGTAATTCTAAAGTCTAACAATACTCCGCCCCTAAAGATTCACCTTGTCCTCAAGGTGAAGAGTACCCAAGTGTCCACCGGGGTCCCAGAACTTGAATTCACGTCCCACTTTTTTGGGTTTCTCACCATAGTTTTCATCTTCCACATTTTCCTCCAATAGCAAGACTTGAAATTGTTTGTTTACACATACATGTCCAGGGCTAAACTTCTCATTACATCGGAAACATAATCCTTTAAGTGATTTATTTTGCAATTCTGCATCTGTCAACCTTCTAAAGCCTTGGTCTTTGAAAAAATTTGGTTGTGGCTGATTTGCCTCACATGATGAACTTGCAGCACTGAAAACAGTTTGTGGATTACTTTTATTTCCAGGATCACTTGTCACAGCCCTGCTATCGTCATGGTTTTTGAAGGTTGGTTCACCAACAGAATTTGTTTCACCATTACCTTTATTCAACAAGCTATTTTTCTCATCCACCCTTTGTGCATAATCCATTAATTTAGACAATGTCTCTACTGGATGCAATTTCAATTCTGCTCTAATAATTTCTTTAAGTCCATTCAAAAAAATACCTTTCAAATAGGATGGCTCTGCGCATTTTAGCGGGCCAGCATACAATTCAAATTGTTCTCGGTATTCCTCCACAGTCCCAGTTTGTTTGAGACTCAATAATAATTCAAATGGACTTTGAATCATTGCTGGATGGAACCTTCTTAGTATGGCAGTCCTAAAATCTTCCCAAGTAGGATTTTGCGTTGAGAATTCCCACCATTGATACCATGCCAGTGCCTTGCCTTCCATAGCCACCATCACAGCTTGTAATTTCTCTTCCTCACTCATCTTCTTTAAGTCAAAGTAACACTCCACCCTGTTCAACCAACCATAGGCGTCAGTGCCTTCAAAAACAGGTATCTCCAATTTCCTCCATCGTTCTTTGCGTTTTCGAGGATGAGTAGTGTGTACAGAAGCGTCGTCATCACTGTCGTTCGGACTCCCCGGTGTTGTTCGCAGTGTGCGACGCATCAGAGCGGCTAATTCTGCTAATTGCTGGTTAGTTTCAGCTCTTTCCTTGCAATCATCTTCAAGGATTTTCTCCACATTTTCCCACATGGCTAACAACCTTTCAAATCCACGTTCGAGAATTTCCACTCTGGCTTCCATTTCCCCTCGTGTAGATACCATAAAGCAGTCCCGGAAGGAAACTGCTCTGATACCAGTTGATAGAAACTGATTATCAAACAATAAAATTGAATAGTAATTACAATGAGTTTTCAAGAAATTCGAGAGTCTTAGTTCTCTCCCTTCCAAGAATTCGAGAGCTTGGTCTCTCCCTCCCAAATATAACCTTTTTCTAATTTTTAGCCTCCCTAAAACATGATTCTATTTCTCTTTTTATTCTACCTAAGTTTTATAACTGCTCCTAATAATAATAATTGTTACTCTAATAATTCTAATGGCTGCTCTTAGGCTCTCTAACTGCTACAGATAACATTTAATAAGGCTGCTCATATGCTTGTAACTGACAGAATTGATAGAATTAGAACAACCACATTCTGTTTTGATTCCTAGTAATTCTAAAGTCTAACACACACCTATTACTGAGGAGAGTTAAACCTTCCCCAAATACTGAATCATCCAGCTTCTGAAGTTTTTCAACCTGCACATAGCACCAAGACTAAATAAATGAAACTTGCTATGACTTCCAGTATTCAAATATATGCATAAACAAACATAAAAAGTGCACTTATATGAAACTCCCAAATGAACATTTGTATTATATTTATGGTTTTATCAGTTCTTTTACATGGAGTATATACCATCGTGTTAAAGAAAGGAGTTCTCACAGATGAAAAGTAGTTAGAATTAGTTAGAGTGGATAATTAGCTAGAGAGGACATCAATTCGATAAATAAAGGAGAATAAATAAGAATAGAAAGATTGATTTAGAGAAATTAGAAAATTGAATGAAATGGAGACATTTTGTTGAAGGAGAAACCTTTGCCAAAGAAGTTTTTTTTCAGTCCTCAATCATTTAAAAATATTGTTCTTTTCTTTAGTCCCTATCAATTCTTAACACACATCCTCAAATGTTGTGGCCTTGTGGGTACAACAACAGCAGATTCTGAGAGCATGAACGACATTAAAAAGTAGGAAAATGTAACTTTGAAATTTTTGTTGCCTTCTAGAGCCGAGTTAAAATACCTTTGTAAAAGAAAATTAAAACTATAAAAAAAAATGTACCTTTTTGAATAAAATTCCCTTCATTTTTAAAGTAAGATTTGCATTGAAATTAGGCAATGTGAATCATTTCAGCTAAAGAGACATTGTGTCCAAAAAAAGAGTGAGAGGGAAAACATAGGGGAAAGGCCTGGTAATTTAATAAAGAAAAAATATTGTTTAAACATTGATCTTGCTACCTTGTTTTAAATTGGTCATACTGTACAGATTTATATATTCATTATATAGTTAATTCTTGTAAGTACAATACAACTATGTCTATATAAATTTGTAAATTGTAATGAAAACTGATAAGCATGTATAACAAAAAAAATCTCGGATTAAATAAATCAACTACAGAATCTATCCATCAGTTGTGATTCATATAAATATAATAATTGAAAAGCATAAAGAACAAAGTACTAAAACAAGAACATGGAAGAGTACAAGAACTAGGAGTTAGTACCTTCCCAGTACGAAGAGCTACCCTGCGGACAGAGGACTGAAACAACAAATAGTTGAAATGTTAAACAAATATTACACATCAAAAACAACATTAATTGTATGTCTAGGAAAACAAAAAATTAGAATGTAATTAGAAAATAAACCTAATCTTGATTAACAATATTTTAGAATAGATAAAAGCTTAGAAAGTTGTCAGACTCGCAAGTCCACGTAGACATGTGAAGAGTCCGTCGATTTGACTTGCAGACTCGTAAGTAAGGAAAAAGTAAGAACTAATTTAGCTTGTTGCTCTTTATTGTCATTTATAGATGTTTTTAATTAATAATAAGTTAAATAAAAGGTTAGAAATTTTTTAAAATTAACCGTATCAAGTTTGGTTTCAAATTTGTGCTTAATAAATTAAGTTATTTTAGAATGGTTCTTTTGAATAATTTTGAGGGATCAAAATCAAGGGAGGTAGATTATTAGTCATAATAATAAATAGATGAATTTGTCTGGATGGGAGGACGACAGCAGGCTTATCCCTAAATTCAAGACGCAATGAGTATGCCCAATTTAGTTTATACTTGAAAGAAAGTTACCGAAGGGTGGTCGAGATAAATTGTGCCTAAAAATCAAAGTTAATAATTATAAAATATAGTAATCTTTCATACATTAATTTGTCTAAAGTAATTTAAGGCTCTCCTTGAATAAAGTCGCCTTTTTTTAGATAAAAAAATAGTATTTATACATGTGAAAAGAAGAGTTTAACACAAACATAAAAAATATTATTTTATTTAGAGAACGAAGCAAGAGAGAAAGAGTAGAAATATTTTAAAACTATCTTTTTATTTTCATAATTCATATCTTATGAAAATTTTAGGAGAATATAAATTAATGTTATTCTCATTATCCTGGGATATGCTTTCTTCGGCATGGGTTATTTTTTCCATAAAGCCCAAGATATTTTCATAACATAAAGTCAATGCGTCCAGATAAATTACTATATTTTGATACGGTTAATTTTAAAAGATTTCTAACCTTTCATTTAACATTATTATTAATTAAAAACATCAATAAATGACAATAAAGAGCAACAATTTCCCATCCCACTTCAGCCATAGAAAGGAAAAAGTAAGAAAAAAAGGCAACACTGAAAAAGGAAAGAAACATTACCTTCTTATAAAGACCAGTTGACTCATATAAGGTATCATTTCCAGCATAAAGAAGTCCCTGAAATCAAACATGCAAAGAGAAAACATTTTTCACTTCAATGAGTGATAAACTAAGAAATGCAGATTTCAATTTGATAAACTCCTCAAAATATATATATATATATATATATATATATATATATATATACTCATAAAACACTATTTGCAATAAAAAAAGATTGTGTGCCACTTATGTTAGGGAAGCCAATAAAGTTGCCTTGTTTGTCAGACTCACTAAAATTTAGTGTTGTGTTTAAGTCATTCATTATTGCCAATTTGTGTTAAAGACAACAGTTTCTTTTAAATTTAACAAGTGGTGCTCTAATGAACTTTGGATTAAATAAAACCCTTAAGGTTCTCTATTGGCTGCTTTTTGTAACACCTTTTAAGGTTCCTTCTATTTTACTATTATTAATTAAATTGACACTGATGATCATTTTATAACTGTTCCTGTTCCCTAGGAAATTTTGAAATTTGTCCTTTGAGATTTCAAGACTAGACTCTTACCACCACTAAGTTGACACCTCATAGACGGAAAAAATAGATAGTATAAGATACAACAAGATATATAACTTGAAGTTCACCCTTTTCCATCAAATTTCCTACCTATCTTAGCTAAAATACCTAGCGAATAGCCATTTCCATTGAAATCACTCCCCAAACAAGTTGAGCTGCCTTAGAAATAGAGATATTAATATTAGAGGAGATAGAGAGATACCTAGCTAAAATGATTATAGTGAGGCCCCAAAATTCATCGCTGGGAAATATTAGAGAAGACACATTAGTTTGTAAAAGCATAATGCGTGTAGTGTGGCAGATCTATTTATATCGTGCAGCTTTAGTTTCAACATTAGTTAGTTCTAATCTAGGTTGTCAATAGCAGCGGTAGTGAGGCCGATGGTGGCGCGGAATCAAATTGCGGCTGCTCCAATACAGACCACGGGTCGTGGCAGCAGAGCATTTCCCGGACCGCAGCAGATTTTGGTTCCCTATTCTTTTTCACCCTTGAAAAACCGAAATTAATACTTAACTAAAAAAAATTTAAGGTAATTTCGGGATTTTCCATGAAATTTAAATTAATACACTCGTTAGCCCTGGTCGTTTCCATTCCTCTTCCTTCCTTGAAACCGCTCAGCAGTATTCCAAAAAAGAAAAAGAAACTTTCAGTTCTTCCTCCATAATCTTTCCTCTGCTCTTCATTCTTCTTCAGGCTTCAAGCTTCATTCTTCTTCAGTCAGGCTTCAAGCTTTGCTCCTCTTCAAGCTTATTCTTCTTTGCCATTGTTCTTCTCTGCCATCGTTCTTCAAGCTTCAAGCTATCTTCCATATGCTTCTTTATTTCCTCGACTTTTGTTGGTATTTGGGATTTAATATTTTGATTAAGACTTGTTGATTATTTTTTAGTGTTTTGGTTAAGACTTGTGGGTTTTTGAGTGTTTTTTGATTAAGCCTTTTGTTCTGAATTATTTGTTTGATTTTACATTAATTATATGTTATTATTATCCATGTAATATGTAAAAAAAGATCAAACAGCGGTCATCTCTTTTGGGGTCGGCCGCCCCAGGCTGCTGTCTGGGATTGACAACCTAGATTCTAAATTAACTTATTGAAACCAACTACACTTCTATAAATAAATCGAGCACTTTATGACTCATTACATGAGAAATAGATTCAGTTTCAAAGAACTTTCTCTCTCTCTAAATGCCTTGAACTTTTTTATGGTTTCTCCTCTACAACTTGTAATTTAGTTTATAAGGATTCAAAAGCCCCACCTTAATCAAACAACAAATACCACCCATATTAGTCTTTATCAGAAATGCTTTTTTAAAAGTGAAGCAAAAGATGAAGGCATGATCTTCCCAATTAAGTCGGCACCCCTGCACTCACACCCAAACTATAGGCAAATTTGCGGCTTATTTAAATAATCAAATATATAAAAATACAAAACCAGACCCCATCAAGAAGACGAAAAATACTAAGGACTAAGGTCATAGCTTGTTATATGCCCCTCACATGATGACTAACTGTTCGCTCATGTTCCCTACATTAATATGCTCGCTGCATCACGGAAACAGATTTAGTCTGATCAAAAGCTACTTCAATTGCTGATCTCAGCCATTGATTGAAAATGGATGATTGCAATTGTAAACTCCTTATTTTCTGACGTTACAGCATGAGCATATAATCTATGTTGTCACTAGCGTGCTATAGCAGCGGAATAGCATAGCGGTGGTAGGGTTCGGCACAACGCTTTTGGCCTGCAGACCTCTGTTAGCAATAGCAGTTGCTGTGGCTGCTAATTGCTGCCTGAAAATGCCATTGCATTTGCTATTAGGGTTTCGGAGATAAATTGCTGAAAGTCTTTTTTGTTTAAATGTTATCTTTTCATAAGGGCATAAATTTCAATCCAAATCTTGATAAGGTTAATAATCGGTTCTTCATTTTGTTATATTCTTGCTCACAAACAACTGTTTTGTTCTTCTTCCTACTTATATTTATGTTCGGTTATGTTATTCTTTACTGTTGAAGTTTTACTATACTATATTTTAGACTCTTTCACTATTACATATCATGATGGTCTCTTTAATTTTGTACATTTTTCTATTTTTGATTATGTTTTTACTTTGTACGCTGTTTTAGTCTTTGCAATAGCGGCTATCCCGCTTTCCGTTATAGCATTTTAGAGATAGGTAGGTGCTACCTATGAAGCACAGACTCCGACACTGACACGTCGACACCACACCGACACTGACACGTCGACACCAGTAATAATTTGAAAAAATGAATAAATTAAACGTAATAACAAGTTCCAGTGTCGTGTTGGTGTCCGACACAGATACGGACACGCTTTCTTTCAGGCGGTGCTATAGAGGGTGCTACACTAGGAAATTATCAACATATGAACTCTATCTAGTGTCTTAAATCCGTTGAATGCAGTGACTGCAAGATTTGTTGAATGTGGTGAATCCAGGCCCCTACATCAGTAAACTGCATCCTTTGGATTAAAATTGGACAGCTTAGTGCTCACATTCTCACTTCAATAAATCCAATTCAACCATAAATTGTAGCCGACTAAACTTCACTCAATGATTACATGAATACATGATTTAATGAATGCAGTACGCCCAACATAGAACTTGTATAGAACCATAGCCTAGTAGCATTTCAGGTCTTGAACTATTTGTTATCAATAATAAAAACAAACTTAGCATTGCATCCAAATTGTTAACCAACTCTCAGGTACCTCTCTCCAAAAATTAAATAAATAAAACTAGTCTATGTTTGGTTCCACCCCAAAATCTTGTTTGTGATGGTTAGGTTTGAACACAAATTAATTATGTTTGACTCCCAGCCCTACTATTGATTCTAGATCCAACCTCAATTCTACCCAAAAGCTTGGATTTCTAGCTTTTCCAAAGACAAAATATTAAAATCAATTCTCAAATCTTTTAAAAGTGGCATAAGCATGCATATGCATATCATCAAATCAAACATTACCAGATAAAATCGTTACAAAAACAGAACATAAAAAAAAATAAAAAAAAGTTGACCTGAGTGAAGGCTTGAGGATCGTGAGGGAACTCATTGACGACAGAGATCGTCTCATACAAAACCACTTGTTGGAACGCACGCCAAGTGTTCGACGAAACGAGCAAGAGACAGATGACGGAAATGACGAGTAAAACGGCGAGAATAGCGGAAACAGTGGCAAGAGTACGAGGCTTACGCTTTCGTGAAGAAGCTGGAAGAGATGCCATGGAAGGGTTTTTCTTCTGTCGTGGTTCGCGATGCTTATTCTTTATAGATCTGGTGGCTGACATTGTTCTTCATGTGAGAGTGGAAAAAAAAACGAGGGAAATCGGAGACGCAGAATTGCACGTTGAAGCTGTAGCTTGCAATTTGTCTCTTTCTGGTGTTATAACTTATGAGGCACTTTTAGAATCGGGTTGCTCTTCCGGTCCCGTGTTAAATTTCGTTTCTCTCTACAATTGGGGGAAGTTATGTCATTTTGGGTTTTCCATCAAAATTGAGAGTATAATTTGTGACTTTCATAACACCTATTTTAATTTAGGGTACTTTTTTTATATTTAATTAATTTGAGAAATTTTAATTAATTATCACTTATTTAATAATCGTTGTTTTAAAATTGTGACTCATGTTTGATTTCGTCAAGGCATCCTATATCATATCATCTATAATATAAGAAAGTTATATGCTCTGCCATCTACCAAAATGTTATGCATAATCAATACAGTGTCACGTGGATGCCTTCAGCAACTCCCATTCATTTTTTTCTGATATTTTCTTTTGATTCTATACCACCTTTTGCGTTTTGAGCTTTCTAAATCTGCTTTTTAGTTCTTTACTTTCTCCCATCATGTATTGCTACTTACATTGACAATTAATTGTTCTGCAGCATTTACATATTACTTTTGCATTCTTCCAATATCTTTTTCATTTTCCCCCGACTTCTTCATCTTTCTCTTCCATCTTCTTCATTTTTCGTTTGGTTTTCTTTCATCTTTCTTTGTATTTCTCCACAACTTCCTCTGTAGCAGAAACTCCATTCATTCAACTCGAACTTCCTCTAACATTTCTTCATGGCGAGACCTTTTCAGAACATTGTTGACATCAACGACATGAAAGAGCTGTGAAAAATCACTGTTAAGGTACACCATAAATGGTCGGTTGTTTCTGACAACAAGGAGCACTTCGAAATTGATTTTGTTGTTCTGAATAAGTTTCTTTGTGAAGCTTTTTTTTAACTATTATGTCTATTTGATTTTATTAGCTAATGAAAGATCCAACATTTTTTAGTAATTTATTTAATGGGTTTTCAACTTATAGTGTATTGCATGTTTCCTACTCATGTCTTCCTTTTCTTCAACAAAAATGTTGCTTTTATCCTTCTTTGTTTAGATCTACGAAACACTCACAATTATATAGTTGTTGATTTTTGTTGTTGTTGCAGGTTTCGAGAAATTAGATCTAGTTGATCTAAACTGTTTCATCAACGAGTTGCTAAGAAACTACATGGGTTAGTTGTACCATATCGACATCGTTTTGGGTTTTGTTTTGTTTTGTTTGTGTTTCCTGGTTTCTGATTATCTGAGAAGTTAGATCTATAGTTTGATTATGTGAATCTAAATTTTTGCTCTTATTTTGCAGCAATTATGTTTGAGATTTGAAGCCGGAAGATATTGGAAAGGTCTGTTAAAGGTTGTTGTCGTCATTTTCACAATTTATGTGAGTCTAACTTTCATATACTACAAGTTTTTATGTGTTAGATTGTGTGTTTGTCTCATTTAGAATCTCCACTAGTTATTTGATGAAATGCATATTTTTTTTGTTTGAGTGAATGTTGGACGATGACGATGATAAATTGTTTGAGTGAGTATTGAAAGTTTGAAGAAGTTTATTTCTGCAAGAAAAAATAGAGATTACTAGACTTACCGGTGGATCTTTATTTCTCTTAAAATTGAAGTTTTCTCATTGTAGTCTTTATTTTGTAGGTTAACGCTCACTTTAAATTAAAAGACATGAAGAAAGCCTACAAATAATTGGAAATAAAGGGGGAAGGTTACAAGAGTATACTACATGAGATGTAAGCTTCTGTTATCAAGCAAAGGGTAAAGAGAAAATATGGTCGTCGACATAGTTTGAAGAACATAATTGAGGTTGCTGCTATTTCTGAGACAATTAAAAATCTTAAATAAGTTTTTTTTTTCTCATGCTTTTAAAACATTAGTTTTATATAAATTCTGAGTTTATATAGTTTTATATAGTTTTCATTTTATTTACCTGTAGCCAATAGTATTCTGCCACTTATGCAGTGCTTCTAAGCCACTCATTCTATCTTATCCTCTTTTTTATATATATATATATATATATATATATATATATATTATATATATATATATATATATAATATATATATATATATATATATATATAATATATATATATATATATATATATATATATATATATATATATATATATATATATATATATATATATATATATATATATATATATATATATATATATATTATATATATATATATTATATATATATATATATATATATATATAGGCTCACCAGATCAATATACATTCTTTCTGTTATTCTTCTAACTGTCTAGCTTAACCATAACAGAATTCTGTTATGCCTTCTTCCTCTTCTTCATCAAGGTGAATTGCTCACCATTAATATGGTATCAGAGCTTGAACAACTCTGGTAGCCATTGTTGAACCTTTTTCTTTCTTTCCTCTGCCCTTCGTTCTCTGTTTCATGTTCTTCTGTTTCTTCATCAATGGCTTACCAAAATTTTGTTGATTTTTCAACTAATTCATCCAATCCGTTCTATCTGAATCCTAATGAAAATCCGTCTCTCGTTCTTGTTTCACCATTACTGGATGATAAGAACTATCATTCTTGGGCAAGATCGATGCATATAGCCCTGATTTCCAAGAATAAGGAACGGTTCATCGATAGAACTCTGACAAAACCTCTTATTTCTGATCCTCTCTATGCTCTGTGGATTCGTTGTAACACGATGGTTCTAGCCTAGATTCATCGATTAATTTCTGAATCTATTGCCAAATCTGTTTTATGGATTGATATTGCAGCTGGTGTGTGGAAGAATCGGCAAGTTCGCTTCTCTCATGGTGACATTTTCAGAATCTCAGATATTCAAGAAGATGTTTACAAATTTCTCCAAGGTACCCTTGATGTCTCCAATTATTTTACACAACTGAAGGTGATGTGGGACTAATTAGAGACGTACCGCCCTATCCCTGCCTATTCATGTGCTATCCCGTGCTCGTGTGGTGTTATTGCCTCGATTCAGAAGTACCGTGCGCAAGATTATGTCATACGATTTCTGAAAGGTTTGAACGAAAAAGTTCACAAATTCGAAGTCCCAAATCATGATGATGAGTCCATTACCAGAAATAGATAACGTTTTATCTCTTGTTATTCAACAAGAAACAGAGTTGAACAACTCTGCAACTATAGTCGTTCCTAATGGTGAAGAGTCTGCAACTTTTCAACATAGTTCCTACTCAGGCAGCAACAACAACAAATATAACAACAACACTTATGGCAAAAGCAAAACTCAAGGTTATAATGGAACAAAAGGACACAATCGAGTTTGCACTCACTGTGAGAGGACCAACCATACTATCGAGACATGCTTCATCAAACATGAATATCCACCCCGGTTCAAGAATAAAGGTAAATCCGCTGCTAATTCAATATCTCAATCTACTGCTTCTACTGAAATAGGACAGGAGTCTTCTCAGCAGAACTCAACCAAGTCTTCTTTTGGTTTCACTCAAGAGCAATATCACAACATTCTAGAATTACTCCAACAATCTAAAACCAATCATAAGCCAATTCAGTTTCTACCTCACCTTTTGTCCTCAATTCCCATTCTAACAATGAACATGGTAAGAATGCTTCTCTTTGGATTCTTGATATTGGTGCTACAGATCACATTGCTTTTGATCTAGCTATGTTTACATCTCATAAATCTATTGTTCCTGTCCATGCTAGTCTACCTAATGGTTCTCATGTGACTGCCTCTATTTTTGGTAGCATAGTTATATCCCCTGTCTTGACCTTACATAATATGTTGTATATACCCACTTTTCATGTCAATTTGATGTCTATTGCTAAACTGGTTCAAGGAAATAGTTTTTGTGTTCAATTTACTGATGCATCCTGTCAAATTATGCAGAATCATTCCAAGGAAATGATTAGTACAGCTAAACTCCAAAGAGGGCTCTATGTTCTTGACACTTCCCCTCATTCTAGTGTTTACCATTCCTTTGCTCAAAATCCTTGTAATTTGTGGCATTTAAGACTAGGGCACATTTCAAATATTGGTTTACAAAATATTTCTAAAATATTTCCCTTTGTTCCTACACAATGTAATAATGACATACCTTGTGATTCCTGTCATTTTGGTAAACAAAAGAAGTTACCTTTCCCTCGTAGCAATACTAAATCAAGTGTTCCTTTTGAAATTCTTCATGCTGATATTTGGGGACCATTTTCCACTATTTCTATTCTAGACCATAGGTATTTTTTTACTCTAGTTGATGACTATACTAGATATACATGGATAACTTTCCTTAAGACAAAAGATCAAACAAAAACCAGTATTATTCAATTCATGGCATATATAGAAACCTCGTTTCATACTTCACTCAAGTGCCTGAGATCAGACAATGGGAATGAGTTCACAGCCTTATCTGAATTTCTTTCTTCCAAAGGTGTTATTCACCAAAAATCATGTGTGGCCACACCCCAACAAAATGGGGTAGTTGAAAGAAAACACCAACATATCTTAAATGTTGCTAGAACCCTGTTTTTTCATTCAAACCTCCCTATAAACATGTGGACTTTTTGTGTTCAGCATGCCATACATATAATCAATAGACTGCCTACCACTGTTTTAAAACTCAAATCCCTCTATGAACTGTTATACAATCAACCACATTTTATCATTCATTTAAAAGTGTTTGGTTGTTTGAGTTTTGCATCCACAATACAATCACACGGAACCAAGTTTGATCCTAGAGCTAGGAAGTATGTATTTCTTGGTTTTAAAGATGGAACCAAAGGGTATATTCTATATGATCTGCAACACAATACTATATTTGTTTCCAGACATGTGATTTTTTATGAGCATCATTTTCCTTTTCAACCATATAAGTCCAAACACAGGCCTATTGCAACACCCAACACTAATCCTCAATTTTATTATGACCCTGTGCCTAGCCCTCAAATTCCCACATCTACTGATATTTC